AGTGTCCTGTGGCCTCCTAGTAATCCTCTGTTTGTCCACCAGATGTTTCCTCTCTTACACACAAGCTGAATTTCAGATTAAAGCTCCTCTTTCTCCTGTGGCTGTAGCTGCGCAGTCTTCATCATTGTCAGGACTGCCAGCCACAGGACATTCCCAAGGCGTCTGACTGACACTGCTCTGCTCTTCACAGGAGGAAAATTTCGGGTCAGGTCAGCTAAATTTTCTTCTCTTTCCCTGTTGCACCTCCCATCCCTTGGCACGTCGTGCTGGTCTCGGCCAGCATCGTTAAAATGACATTGTGTTTGAATGGGGATCTTGACACTGATTGTAGCCTGTGTCCTGAGTGCAGCTCTTCAATCAGACATCCCAATTTACACGTCTGTCTTTAAAACAGTTTTCTTAACTGTTATTGCCCGTCAAACTTCGGCTTCAGCCTGAGAGGTTCTAAGTGCTTGGGGCTCGTGGTGTCACGGGTTCAGCTGAAGGGTGCTGAGGCTGTGTTCCTCGATGTCTTTCATCGTTTGATCGTTCTCCAGCGCTGTTCTACGCTCAGTGAGGGGAGCTCTGTAAATCGTTTGTGCTCGTAGACACATGATGTGCTGTTGGTGCTTCAGTTACCACCAGCCATCTTGACAAAGGGTGGCTGGACAGATACCTGGCCTGAACTAGTCGATTTGCAGAAAATTTTGCAAGAACTATCACGGGATCATGGAATTGTCAGAGTTGGAAGGGACCTCTAGAGATCATCTAATCCAATCCCCTGCGAAAGCAGGGTTGCCCAGAGCACATCACTCAGGAGCATCCAGGCGGGGCTTGAAGATCTCCAGAGAAGGGGACTCCACACCCTCCCTGGGCAGCCTCTGCCAGGGCTCTGCCACCCTCACCTCAAATAAGTTTTTCCTCATATTTGAATGGAACTTCCCATGTTCCAACTTGTGCCCGTTGCCCCTCATCCTGTCACTGGGAACCACTGGAAAGAGTCCAGCTCCACCCTCCTTCAGCCCACCCTTTAGATACTCATAAGCATTGATAAGGTCTCCCCTCAGCCTTCTCTTCTCCAGGCTAAAGAGCCCCAGCTCTCTCAGCCTTTCCTCATCAGGGAGATGCTCTAATCCCTTAATCACCTTTGTTGCCCTTCACTGGACTCTCTCCAGCAGTTCCCTGTCTCTCTTGAACTGGGGAGCCCAGACCTGGACACAAGATTCCAGTTGTGGCCTCCCCAGTGCAGAGCAGAGGGAGAGAATGACTTCCCTTGACCTCCTGGCCACACTCTTCCCTGTGCAGCCCAGGATCCCATTGGCCTCTTGGCCACAAGGACACATTGCTGGCTCATGGAAAGTTTGCTGTCCACCAGGACCCCCAGATCCTTCTCCTCAGAAGTGTCTTCCAGCAGGTCCACCCCATATTCCCATATAATTCCCATATTGCTCCCTCAATCTCTGGTTGAGGGCAAGGATTAATTTACTGCTTCCAGTTGACCGTAAAACCAGGGCCTGGCGAGGGGGCTGGGGAGATCCCTGGGATGTCCATGTTGCTCTCCTGGAGCTGCGGATCAGAATTCAGAGGAGGTTGGAGCTGGATCTGTTGGAGTGGCACGGCGTACGCAGTGTGGGCTTTGAGTTAGGACATGAAAGAGCGGTGCGTTCCCAGCAGCCGAAGGCATTAATGAAATATGTTCCTCTTACTGACTGGCTTTGAACTGTCACCTGTGACTACGGCAGCTGCGCTCACAGGGCTGTGCAGCACTTACTGATGCGCAGCTGGTAAAATCAGGAAAAATGGCCCTGCTAATAGAGAACATAATGGCACCGCTATTGTTTCTGCGGCCACCGGTGCAGACAGGGTTTTCTGGAGCCACGGAGCAGAACCTCCCAGCATTGTAAAGTCAAGAACAGAAGAGGAGAGGACAGCTACCAGGAACGGAGGCTTCTTTGGCTCTGACTCTTTGCTCTTTCCCTACTACCTGATTTTCTTTGATGAAAGAGGATTATTGGAAAAAAATAACCCACCCTGCTCTGCACAAGGGGAATTAGTGGTCCTCCTGTAGCGGTTCTGGTGCTGATGCTGCAGCTGTGCAGGGCGCTGCTGGATCCCAAAATGATGTCCTGAAATCAGAGCACATGCTCCCTATGCAGGTGGGGCCACGGTTACCACCCTTTCTGCTTTGCAACCTGCCGGGGTCGTTTCTAAAAATGTGTTGTTTCCACCTGAGATTCATTTTGGAAGGCCTCTCACACCCTCTGCGTGTGTCTGTCTTCAAACGAGATGTCAGCCTGCGCAGGCTTCTCTCCAGGAGCTTCAAACCCCCGTGTTTCACATGTTAGCTCCTCCTGCCTACCTGGGACCTAAGCAAACTGCTAATTGTTGTGCAGATGTCATCTTCCAGGCAGGCAGGAGGTTGTAGGCTTGAAAGAGGCTGTACTGTCATTTGCTACCAGCCTTCTCGGTACACGTGAGCTCTATTTTTATGGGAGTGCGCGTTTTCTTTCAGCCGCTGCTTTGTTGAATTTCTTTTTCTTCTTTTTCTCTTTCTATTTCCTGGCTTGCAGGTAAAGTTTTAGGGACACATCTATTTTTCATTATCTCAGTTTTGCCGCTTGTTTTATAACTGAAAAAAAACCCCACCAAACCCCCTGTTTCCTATGTAATAAGCAGCAGTTTGTTCTGAGATGAGTTGAAGGGGGAACCGTGTGTCGTGGTCAGTCTGAGATTGAGGTCCTGATGGTGCCATCGACCAGAAGGGCATGGAGATCTTCTGGGAGCAGATGGAGTTTGAGCCCCCTGAATTCTGCTCTGGGCTTTCCAGGTCGGGAACCTGGGTGTTGGTTGTAGCCTGGTTGCCCTGGGCCATGTCCCAAGTTGAGAGATGGAGGCTTTGGTCGCAGGTCTTTCATAGAATCATAGAATGGTTAGAGTTGGAAGGGACTTTAAAGATCATCAAGTTTCAGCCCCCTGCGCCAACTAGATCAGGTTGCTCCAAGCCCCATCCAACCTGGCCTTGAACACTTCTAGGGATGGGGCATCCACAGCTTCCCTGGGCAACCTGTTCCAGTGTCTCACCACCCTCACAGTAGAGAAAATTGAGAATTTTGGCTGTCTTCTGAAAATAGAGAACTTTTCTTGTGCTCTGGTTGTAGTTTAGGTTTGTGGGTCCTTGAGGTGGTTCTCTGACCCTCTAGAAAAGAGGATATCTAGCACTGGGTCAGACGTGCAAGGTGATACTTCCGTGCACGGTGTGAATTAAGCAGGGGAACTTGCTGTTGAGGGATGCTGTGGGTGTCAGAAGTCCAGGTCTGTTCCAAAAGCAATTAATGGCAAAACCAAGAATCCAGTTGGTCTGGATTTGGGCTCAAAGAGAGAGGCTGCTGTTCAGGAAGAACCTGGCTCAGGAGTTTTTGGAAGCTGAAGTGCATGAGATGTTATTACTGTTTGTGCTTTCTGCTCAGCTGCTCTTCCCTAGATGTCCACATCCATCACTGACCAGCGTGATGTGGTGTTTTGCCTCTTCTGGATCTCTTGGACTCGATGATCTCTGAGGTCCCTTCCAACCACCACAATTCTGTGATTCTGTGATTCTGTGATTCTGGTTTTGGCTAAAGCAAAAGCCAAGAAGGAAGAGGAAACATAACGGGGTGGGGAGACAAGATAGCAGTAAAGGGGTGGAAGGAGAGGACTCCTCTCCCTCCATGTCCATGAAGTCTTTTGGGGGCAGAGGTCCTTTGGTGACAGGAGCCTGTGACCGTATTTTCTGCTTTGTGGAATAGAAGATGGTTGCTTCAAGGAAAGAAAAAAACCTGTGATCTGATGTGCCATCCTGACGGACAACAAAGACAGAAAGAAAGATATTTAGGACTTCATGTATGGGAGGAAATTCTTTAAAACCTGGATAGGAGTAGGAGCAGACTTGATGGAGGGATGAGTAATGAAGGAGTGTTTGAACGGAACTAATCAGTCCCATCTTCTTTCAAAAGACCTCATTTAGTTTAATTTAGCAGCGTGTAAATTTAGAGCCAATCAAAGGAAATACTTCTCCAGCCTGTGTGCTGGCAGGCTGTGCTGTTCCCTACCCCAGCAGCGAGCTGTAGGTGGATTTAAAGCCTCGTGCTGCCAAGTGGTGGGACCACGCGTGTGTGTGAGTGTGGTTGCACACTCGGCGGTGGGGATACGACCTCGTACCAAGGGGACTGGCAGCCACAAGAGCAGGACACTTCTTTTTCCCCCCCTCTCTGGTTCATTCTGGTCTGTGGGCGACTGTTTGCCACGGGACTACTTCATGGTCTGCTGCGAGGGCAGGCAGGGCTGGAGGAGCCAGTCCTCTGAGCGGCAAGGGAAGGCCTTGCACAACTGCAGGAACCCCCAAATTCACCTCATTCACCTCTGCAAAACGTTGTTTTCCTCAAGCAAAGCCTACGTACTCATGGTCTGCTGCGAGGGCAGGCAGGGCTGAAGGAGCCGGTGCTCTGAGCGGCAAGGGAAGGCCTTGCACTGCTGCAGGAACCCCCAAATTCACCTTGTTCACCTTGTTTTCCTCAAGCAAAGCCTACATATGGATTTAGATAAACTCCCCATCCTTTGACAGCTGGTAGTTTTGGTTAATTTGAATTAATGCAGCTACTTCTGTGCTTAAAATGAGGCACACCCAGAAAAGGCCTTCGCAGGATTGCACTGATTTTTAGCTTTCCCTGTCATTGTCGTCTGTGGCACTGATGCAGTGATTTTAAACAAGACTTAACAGGTCTCTTCATGTTTTCCGGGAGATACATAAGCCCCTGCGGGGTCAACATAAGTTACTGTGTCGTTACCTGTCGTAAACTCCATTAGCAGTTTAAAATTGACACCCCTTGCGATTGGCTGCCCCCTCCGAGACCTGTGTGCTAACACCTCGAGGTGTTCTGAGTCCTACGGTGTCGCTTAAGCCGCAGAATGTCGCTTAAAGGATGCTAAAACCTGTGAAAACATGGACTAAAACGTTGTTGGTTTTGTTTTCCTTTGCTTTTCAGGCTGGTGGCGATGTCTCACTGGACTGGTCTCCTCTCCACCGCTCCCAAAGTCAACCTGCTGGTCTTGGTGGTCTCTGCGGTGTTTTTCTGGTCAAGCCTGAGCGACAGAGTTCCTGTAAGTGTCGAGGGCTCTGGCCAAGAGTCACACTTGCAGAGGGCTGTCCAGCCACCACAGCCTTTGGTGGGATGACAGCCCTACTTCATCCCTCTGTAGGGCCAAGTAGAACATAGCATGGTTGGTCAATCACCTCTTCTCAACAGCGGGTCTTCAATACCAACATTTCAGAAGGGCTTTTTTCTGAAGACTGTTTGCCTCGCCCCAGGAAATCCAGAATATGCTTGACCTGGAGGGTTTGCAATGGGAACAGTGCAGCTTGGGCAGCTCTTTTGTTTGCTAGGTGTCACTTTTTCTGGTGGGAGCTGTCACACGTTCCCCCCATGGCAAGAGGCAAAGCTAATTATGTGGTCTAGTGGCAAGAGGAGGGGAAGAATGTCCTCGATTAGCTTCCTAGCTGTGCCTCTGAGTCACCGCCAATGAGTCAGGCTTAGAAGAGCACCCTCTCAGGTCCTTGCATCCCATGGGCATGGATTTTGCTTCTTGCAGTGTTATTCTGGAGCTGCAGTTGAGCTGGGTTGACTCTGCCCCTTTGTGTGAAGCTACCCCAGGTTTGGACTCTGCCCTGAGCCCCAGGTGCCAGAACTCCCTGTGTTAGCAGATCTGGAAAGCTTCCTTGAGGAGCTCACGTGAGACACGCTCTGTAGCAATGGAGTGGTGGGTCTTTAGTTGTCAGGGGGTCTGACATGGGCTTTTGGGCAGGATTCATGCAAGGGGTGGTTGATTCTCCCCTCACCTTGTCCTGGGCTCATGGTGGCCATATCCCTCCTGTACTGCAGACAGAGTGCAGGTTGTCCCAGACCCTCCCTGCTGAGGCTTTTCAGCTCATTGCAGCGGATTTCAGACTGACAAAGCAAGGAGGCTTTTTGCCTTTGAGGAAATTTCCATTGTTCTTTGGAAAACATCTTTCTTTCTACTTTTTTAATTACAAAAGACAAACCAAAAAGGAGTCCACCTAATCCCTACGTAAATGAAGTATCTCTTGTGTGGTGTTGCCCTTTTTTGCTGGAAATAGTAATGAAAATGGGCTATTGCAAAGCAGTTGTGGGCCAAGCAGTGGCAGTAACATTTAAATGAACCGAGTCACATCCTTTTATCCTCACTGAATGTTTAGACCATGGTGCTTCTCTTAAGCAGAGCCAGTAAACATCAGCTATCTCCATTATGTGTTTCAACAGATACAAGACTCGGAGGCCCGGTGGTAAATTTACAATAGCCTGTATTGTTAAGTCCCTCTTGGATAATAATATAACAGCATAAATAAGCTAAATAATAACTGCTCTGACTCATTTATTTTAGTCCTGTTGAGTCTTGGCTCGGCAAATGTTAACATTGATTTTCATCTGCAGA